TAGCCACTATGCTACCAGAGCTCCCAAAGATTGTGTTAGCAAGAGTAAATGGAGAACAAATTGGGAACCTCAGGTTGGTATCAAATTTAAGGAACAATGCATGCAGGGGCAGGAAGGACATCGTTCTTCAGGATAGTCAGTGCTAATCTGGTCTCCTTGGTTGGAATTCCTGTTCTACCGTGTCTAACTAATTAGGAGCCCAATTGCTTGCCCTTTTTAAGTAAGTAATTTTTTAAAAAAATGGGACAATTCACTCTTAGGGTCCCTGATAGAAGCTCTGATAAACTCTGAGCTACAGAGGCCTCACATACCCTGATCATCAGCACAGCTTTTCTGATGTCCCGAACACCATCATACACCAGGCGAGAGGCATCAATGAATTCATTCTCCTCAAATGGTTGAGGAACGCTGGCACTCAGGGCTTCAATGGCAACCTCTACTTGTTCAGCAAAGCGTGGCATCACTGGATTAAACAAAGCAAAATGCAGTGGATTAGACAATCTTTCTCTCACAAGCTCTCATTCCGGTCCTTGAGCAAAGTGGCAGGCTCTAGCATTCCAACAATCCAGTGGAAGAGGACTAGATGGGCCACTGTCCAGTTTGGGTTGGGCCAAATGTAACAGTTTTGTGCCACCTACCTTCAGCAGGAAAAACAGTTACTCTGTCCATGGTGATAGTTTGCAACACAGAAAGTTTTAGAAATATGCCCCGGGTAATGTGGTATAACATTTAAAGTATAGATTTTATGTCATCTCAATCTGAGTAGAGATCCACCTCTGTTAGGTATAAGCTAAGAAACATTGGTCATTTTCTTTTCTTTTCTTTTTTTTTAGCCTTTCTAAATCCTAAGATCCTATCAGGATTCAGTAAGATGACATCTGGCCCTTAGAAAACATTAATAAATATTTAAGTAATACATAACAGATGCAAAAGGCATAGATGGTGAACAGCAGACCTTAAACTACACAGCTTCCTAGTAAGTATTAACGAATTGACTAAACCTATCCCATTTCTGTCAGGAATGCAGGAATTGAGACATGGAGAAATGGCTGTGCAAGGAAACTCATGGGTGGACTGCATCAAAGGGTAGAGGGAGTACACAGGCTGTAGCAGAAAGGCCTATGGAGAAAGGGACTGACCGGATTAAGTCTAAATTTGGTTTGTTAAGTTTTACTAGGACCTCCCTGACATGATAGTAGTTGCATATATTAGTCTCTAAAGTGTTGATAGCTCTTGGTTTTCACAGGACACCTGCATGCAACTGTAGGGATTTACGAAAAGTGAATGCAGTGGAAAGTCTGGAATAGCAACTGGATACTTTAAAAATGCTACAGATTCACTGATTCTTGAAAATTATAATTCAACTTTATCAGCTGTTATCTTGTAGCAATCAATTTATAGGCAAATGAAAGCCAAAAGCACAATTCATTTTATTTACAAGGACTATGAAACAGCAACATAATTCATCTGTTTCCATTTCTGAACTTTCATGCTTGACTTGTCTTTATGCTCATTTTCATCCTGTATGGATACTTTAACATCCATTTCAATCCCTGGTGTTAGAAACTCTGCTAAATTACTTTACTCTCTAGGGTCAAAGTATTCAAGATAAAAAATTCCTAGAAAAATGTATTTCTACCAGGAAAAGTCAAATATTGTTAAAAAAATAAAATAAAATAAAATAAGGGATGAGATAGAAGAAAGCAGAGAAACCATTCTTCAACAGAAATTACCAAAGCATACAGGGGGTGGATTTCCCTTGGTGGGTGAAATACTAAGTTGGTTCTTAATACTATTTGAATTTTGCTTTTGGTCTTATAAACTCTACTTTTAGATAAAAAAGATTTTGGGGATACTGAACTATAAACTCAGGCCATTTCATGTATCCATTTACATTGGGAATAAACAGTTATATGTGACTGAATAATCCAGATAATTGAAACTGACCTCCTTAAGCATGAAAATATTTTCTATGCATTTCACATTTGGGGATGAGTACCTTTCTTAAATTAAATAACAAATTTCTTTTCTTTCTTAAACAGAAAATGGTGAATAACATTAATTTTATTCTAAATGATATCTAAGACAGCATAATCATGATCATCAATGATTTTATAAATTTATATATATATCATCGGGGAGTGCTTAGTTACATACATAGAGTTGTTTGCTTTTATTATATAATTGATAAAGGATTAATACTTGCACATGTACGTGGTATTAGTACTCCAACAAGTCAATAAGAAAAATAAAAATCATGTAGGATTAATATTGACACAAATTATTGAGAAAAAGTAGAAACCTGGTTAAAAGATTATAATAGACAATTCTCAGAAAAGAAATCCCTAATTATCAATAAATGCATGAAGTTCCATTTTACTAATAATTAGAAAAATTACAATCTAAATAATGAGATATTTCACAGCTATTGATATGGACACACAAAAAAAATCTAATAATATCACTCTTGGCAAGGACGTGGAAAAAAGAAAGCCTTTCTAGTGAAAGTGTGACTGCAAATTGTTCCACATCTTTTTTTTGAGCACTTTGACAAAATCTAGTGAAATGAAAGCTCCATTTACCTGGTGAATTGTGATACATTCTAAACCAAAATATTACTGCTGTCAAATTGATTTCAACTCATGGTCATCCTGTAGGACAGAATAGAACTGCCTCATAGAGTTTCCAAGGCTGTATATCTTTACGGAAGGAGACTATCATATCTTTTTCCCATGGGACATTATGTAATTCATGGCCAGATACAACCATCTAGAGAAATACTGATTAGGAGGGCTGAGCAAGTGTTCATTGGAGTCTATGGATAAAGTTGTTTCTCATTAAAGTTATACATTCTAAAATTAATAATAGTGAGAGTTATATAAAATCTAGGAATAAAAAGCTTGTAAGGGGTTCTATCAACAGGCTAGACCCTACATTCATTCTGACTTCTCCAACTGAGGAGAAACCACTGTTAGCTGCTCCGTCCAGGCCAAGGGGCATACATGTGGTGGGGTAAAATGGCCTCAGGGAGTAGAATAAGGGGATGATCAACATATTAAAGTCAGTAAGTCATTAGGTCAAAAAGGTGAGTTGGAAAATAAATTGAAAAGGAATATTTGTAAGAATTAAAAAATAGTCAGAAGAGTATTATGTATAATTTAAGTTGTGCTGGTGTAGTGGTTAAAGCATTTGTCTGTTAACCAAAAGGTCAGCGATTTGAACCCACCAGCTGCTTTGCAGGAGAAAGATGAGGCAGTTGGCTTCAGTAAAGATTTACAGTACTGGAAACACTATGGGGATCGTTATGAGTCAGAATCAATTCCATAGCAATAGGTTTCGTTTTTGGCTTTTTATATATTTATTAAACATATTCTGGAAGGATGTTGTTGTTGTTGTTATGTGCCATTGAGTCTGACTTGACTCACAGTGACCCCTCCTTGGGTTTCAGAGGCAGTATCACTATGGAAGTAGATTGCCCCATCTTCCTTCCGAAGAGTGGCTGGTAGGTTTGAACTGCCAGCCTT